CCGGCGTCCCAATACTTTTGGTAATATAGTGTGTGTATATTACCAGATCCCACCAACTTATTTGATAGTTTTCCTTCTTTCTGCTCCTACATTATTTTTCCGGCTCAGAGCCGACCTCGGGGGTCCCAGTGGCCTCATTATAAAGACGTAGAATGTTTCCATTGAACACAGTGGAGGTCGGAGGTCGGGTTTACTGAGTGCTGTGAAATGTCACATTCAGGTCTCGCACGCTGCGTTCAGGATGTCCTCCATGTGTGTTCACACGCCTGACCTGGCGGGCATCGGTCCTGTGTCACACAAGGAGCAACAATGGCATTTACCCCAAACTGGCCAGGATAGGGGAACGCTAGAGGGGTTCTTGTTAAAAAAAAACCTTCATAGCACGTTCTAAACATAAACCAGACGTTACCCCGGACTGAATGACATTTGATAAATCAGCGCACATCATAAATTGTTATTTCCCCTTTAATCATCCTTTGTTACATCTCAGTGCTGCTGATCTCCTGCAGCCTCAATGCAGCCACTTCCTGTCTACATGTACTCCAGCGATGGCTGCGTGGCATTTCTCAGGACGGATTTCCCGATAGTGACAATAGCCGCCATTGGAAGCCCATGAGAACGGGTGACAACGCAGGGGTGCAATTAGGAGACAGGAACGGAGTGTCGTCACCCAATAACAGGAAGTGCCTGAACATTTCCTGGCTAGAGTACATGAAGCGTCATCTAGCTCTTTCCTCCCCGGTCTGTTCCTGACCCACCTCTTTCATTCATTGGATTTCAGTTATTCCAATCATGGAGGTTCAGCATCACATGTGGCCATTACCTATGCAACTACAGCCTGCCTTGGGACCCCCCACTCCTCCACACTGACACTAAATAATCATGTAATAAAATGAGAATGGAAAGGTTTCATGTAAGTATTTCATTGGCATGGTGCTGATGAGGGGTAAATGGAGGGACCAACAAATAAGCAGATTGCACTGCGGCTTTAAACCGGACACGTGTATCTAATAAAGAAGATGACGGCTCCCCTTTTAATACAGCCGTGTCATGCTCCTCCTCTGTGTGTTGTTATTGCAAGCAGGCCAGGAGTCGGCTCCGGTCCTGCAGAGAGGAGAGGGCAGCTGCCAGCAGAGAGAGAGATGCCAGGGCCAGAGCTCTGCGCTGTCCCAACATAACCTCCCGGTGCCAAGGAAGAAAGGAGTCATTGACTCACACAATACAGGTGGCACATAGTATGTAACCGCAGGCTGGGCACCGCACACTGTATTCTTCACCACGTGTCCTCGCCTTCAGCTTCATCGTCTTATATACAGGTTCATGCGGCCACTTCACCCAAAAGTGAATCTATGATATCCGCCATGAAGTACACGCCAGGTATGCCTATATGACCCAAGTTGTGAGATGTGTCCGCCATGAAGTACCCGCCAGCTGTGCCTATATGACACAAGTTGTGAGATGTATCCGCCATGAAGTACCCGCCAGCTATGCCTATATGAACCAAGTTGTAAGATGTATCCGCCATGAAGTACCCGCCAGCTATGCCTATATGACACAAGTTGTGAGATGTGTCCGCCATGAAGTACCCGCCAGCTGTGCCTATATGACACAAGTTGTGAGATGTATCCGCCATGAAGTACCCGCCAGCTATGCCTATATGACACAAGTTGTAAGATGTGTCCGCCATGAAGTACCCGCCAGGTATGCCTATATGATGGGAGGGATATATTACAATGACACCTGGAAGTGGGGGGGATATATGGGCTAAAATGGTGCAACAGTATGTCTGTAGGAAAACAAAGTCATATTTAGTACATCTTTCCAATACTCGGACGTTTCCTCATCTTTTGCTGAAACATAACAAACAGAACAAGAAACATTCCACAATTGAATATCCCCTTATTATCATACTAGAAGCTCAATTGATGGATTGCCAAAAAGGGTGTTTAAACATATACAAGATCTACATATAATACAATTTGATAACATTGTCTTAAATACGCGATCTATCCCATCCCCTTAACCCCTTCATGACTGAGCTTGTTTTTTACTTTCTGTTCGTAAATGACTGACACATTTTTGACATTTTTGCTGCGTGATCCTTCCATGTCAGTAATATACTTTCTTACAAAGTGCACGCCGGG